GTGTGTGTGTGTGTGTGTGTGTGTGTGTGTGTGTGTGTAATTATAATTTAATCATATTAAATAATAAATTTTGCCTTTATTTGTAACATTCAAATAATCTCATCATTAGTTTTGCATTTCGTTTGATCTAAGCAGCGCCAAGTGTTTTACATAAAAATTTTTTTTTAGCCAAAACATGGCCAATCAAAGTCGTGGCCAGTCTCTGATTGGCGGATGAAAGTCGTGGCCAGTCTCTTATTGTAGTGTCTCTAGGTATGTACATATATCAACGCCTATAGTTCCAAATTTTAATCGACACCTTTAATTTCCACTCTTCCATTCGCATTTTCGTCGTAATTGTGAGTCGTTTTCCAGCAAGAGACACAGAAGGACACAGTGTAACACAGTGAATCATTTCATTTTTGTTTAACATTAACAAACAACAAGGATTAAATAATTCACTGTGTTACACTATGTCAAGTGTGTCTCTTGTTGGTAAACGCTCTGTATCTATTGTGTGTTCAACTCATTGTCAGTGATTCTATACTGGAATACTCATTCAAATGGATGGGAACGAGACGAGCGAGAGGGAAAACAGTGTACAAGTCCCACCTCTTTTTTCGTGTACTATTTAATCTGAAAACATCGACTTGATCAACAGAGACGATTATATTCATAACCTCTTTATAAAATAGAAAGGAAAGTTGTAAGTTTTAAATAAAAATGGGTAGGTGTTGTGCTATAAAAACTTGCAAGAATTATGATCAATATGGTTTAGAAATTATTTTTCACAGCTAATTAAAAATATATGATAATTTAACATATTTTTTATATTTGTAAGATATAGTTAGAACAACGTGTTTGATTAAATCAAATTATAATTTATTATAATTTTAAAATATTAAGATAGAGTCCAATTTATTTGGATGACTCAATGAAATAAATAAAATAATTTTATTGTTTAGATTACCAGTTTCTAATGAATTACGCCAAAAATGGTTAAGTACAATTTCTACGCATTTATTGAAATTAAATTCTGAATTAATACACATATGCAGCACACATTTATATATTACCTTTGCTAGGTTAGTAAAGCTGGATGTTTGCGGAAAAGAACATAAAAAGTCGCTGGCTAATCAAATGTCACTAGACAGAGAAGAGAAAGGAATTGTACGCAACCTGTCTCTTTCTTTGGCGTACCCGGCTTTTAAACATTGGAGTGAGCATTCTAGTATAGTATACCCAAATAACAAAATAGCAAAATGCCAGCAATATACCAGCACTGTACCAGTAGATCCGATCATAATTTCGCAGCAGATTTCAAGTTGCTGTTTCCCAATTAAGCTTAATTTTTTGTGGCACACTTTCTCATCATAGAATAAAAATGTGATAAAAATCGAACATTGCTTGCTGTCTCATTGTGACAGCAGATGTCATGCAAAGTTTGCCAGATACTGGCAGCAAAAATCGAGCACAGTGTGTCGTCACGACGTGATGACAAAATTACAACAGGTATATGGTGCGATCTGCTTTGTCAGCTGTCAACAAAAACGCAGTAGAAATCGAGCACAGTGCCGGCACGATGTGACGGCAAAAACGTAACAGAAATCAAATAGGATCTGCTAACATAACTTGTTAGCAAATTAACAACAGAAATCGAGCAAATTCTGTTTCGTCAATATTTAAATTATTACTAAAAAAATTTTGAAAAATGTCTATTATTTTTTCTATCTCTTATTTTAGAAAAATATTTTTAATTATTTTATTAATGATGAAATTAATATATTTTTTACAGCACAAATAAGTTATAAAACGCTTCTTAAAGATATAAGTTATGATTCTTTCTTATATAATGTATCAAATAATGTATCAAACATTGTATATTTTATATAATGTTTACTATTTCTCAAGCCCTATACTTCGTTAATAACAATTATGTCTTGCATCAAGCGCGTACATAAAAATATGTAAATAATAAATGAGTGTTTAAATGTTGAATATGATTTCGTTTATATAGAAAGTTTGATAAATTTTGCGAGAAACGAACGCAACCTAGCGGTAGTTTCCTAATTATTTAATGACAGACGCAGAGTTTTGTACGATTTCTGTTGCCGATTTGCTGGCAGATTATGCCAGTTCTATTTGATTTCTGTTATAATTTTGTCGCCATGATGTGACGGCACGCTGCTCGATTTCTGCGATACATTGATAAGGCAGATCGTGCTTTATACCTATCAAAATTTTGCATCATGATATAATGGCACATTGTATTCTGTTTCTGCTGTGTTTCTGCTGCCAGTATCTGACGTCACAAATCGTGTTGCATTCTTGCCGCATTTTTGCTATCATAGTGTGAAAAAATAAATATGCCAGATATTTATTACATTTTTGCAACATGTCTTGACGGCATATCATGCTAAATTTTGGAGTATTTTCTGTTGAATATTGTAACAACACAAAATGCTTGAATTCCAATGTATTTATGACGACAAGCTTTGTTTAATTTTTACAGTATTTTTGCAGTATGTTATCATAACAAAGCTATGCTGCATTTTTTGCTGACAGTATCTGTTACAGCAGTCCATGCTGGATTGCTGCTCCATTTTTGCATAACGTATAACTTCGCAATTTGTGCTTTTGGCATGTTTTATCTGGATACTGGTTGAATTGTACAACTTCTAATTTTTTCGGAATTATAAGATAATCAAAGTAAAAGAATATATCTGCATGAGAGGATTGTATCATTTAATAGAATAATAAAGTAATAATTTAATAACTATTATTGTCAGAAATAATCATTTTAAATATCTATACAAGAAAAGATTTTTAATTATTTTAATAACGACTGTATATTTTTGTAGAAATATTTTAATAAAAGGAGAAAAGTACAAATTAGAAATTAAAGTGTGTTTCATTCAACAGGTTATTAATCCAATAACTTATCTCGTCAATACGCCCGCACGCTTAGCTGCCTATACGTATATATGCATACGATCTATTGAAATCCTCGTTTTCTCGTTATTAATCTTTTCTGAATCTGCGTCATTCGCTGTGAACATTCACAGCGAAATTCTATGGGAACTGGCAGGTTCGGACATAAACATACTCAGAACATACTTAATAGATGAATGTACATAGTAGACGTAATACGTATGAAAATGTTCTGAGATGATCGCAATATACGCACTGCGATTTATTCAATACTCAAAACATATTCGTGCTGCTAAGATATTTATTAAGAATCTTGAATTCGTACCTAATGACCGATTCTCGTAAATTATAAAATAGTTAAAAAGTTATATAAAATATTTTATTTATTTACTTTATTTATACCGCTTTAACAATTAATCCTAACCGTTCATTACATGCTACTACATGCAAGCAAGACAATAATTTCCTCACAATTGTATTCTCACAATTTTAGTGTGTTCTAAAAATCAAAAGAAAGTGTCATAACCTTAACGAAATCATGAGACCGACAACATTACATACAGAAAACACACGAGAAATTTTTGATGTAAAATTCTTGCTAATACTTGATTTCACATGCCACTTGTCTAATTGCTAAGTGCTAGTTGCTTAATGATTAGGTAAGTACTAAAGTTAAATGGAATCCATATGTATATTACTTGGTTCTGCTCTGATCAATTAACCTCTTGAGCATTCATAGCGTTGTGTTCATAATAGAAATAGATTCAAAATCTCGAATGAAATAAAAGTTGACTTATTATATATTGTGATTAATTGCCCAAAATAGCCACTGCGACTGATCAATTTTTCCTATGTCCGAGATCTCGAATTTGATTAGATACAAGGGGTGCGTTCGTTTAGCGCATCTACATCTTTCATCTGCTAATCACGTGACTTAAATTTACTGAACGGACACCTATGTGAATAGTTATTCAAATCATATCTTTCAATAGAAAATCTGAATAAAATTAAACCTGAATAAAATTAAATTGAGAATCGTTTGAAATATATAAATAAAAAAAAACTTTTAAACATAAATTTATAGTCGAATAATTAAAATATAATAAAATTTTTAGATTATATAAAAGATCATATTTTTATTTAGACATTAAATTATTTAATTGATATAAATATTAAATATTTTTTAAATATTTAATCTATGAATTTTATTTAAAGATTAGGTTGTATAAGAAGTTCATAATTATATGTATTCAGATTTTTAATCTATATTCAAAAGACATTTTTAGCTTAATTTAATCAAACACAAATTAACAAATTTTACAACTTTGTCATTATATAGTTTATTGAATTAATTTCACTGTGATTGTAGACTTTAAGATTATGAAACACTTAAAAATTTTATTATGGTAAATATGTAGAAAACGGAGCTCCCTCCAATGACCTTGACATTGACATATATTGTCAGGGTTACTACTCTGAGAACATTAAGAAAGTTTTAGATGGCGATTTTTCACTGTTCGTTAAAAAGTTAACAAAAAAATAAAGTGAACAATTTATTCATCAATAATTTATCTTAAACAAATTTAAACGACTGATACTGGTTAATTTCGCATATTTAAATGCTATATCAGAAAAATTTTTACACGACATTTTATCTTTCACATTAAAAGAAGCATAAAAATTCGGAAACGCGAAATTCATGACAGATTTGGTTATTTAAATCGTGAGGTAATTTTATTAATCATAATTAATAAATTAAATTATATGTCATAAAATATTTGTAACATATTTTTTTAAGAAAAGAAACTGGACTGTACGAGCCACGCAAGATGTGAGTAACAGTTAATATATTTTAAATAACTAATATAAACAACAAGTTTACAAATGTTTCGATCTTTAATGTAGTAATATAGTTTCGATCTTCAGTATATAATGAAAAACAGTTATAACATAATTAAAAGCGATCCTATTGTAAAGAAGAGCGCCTTACAGTTGTCCAAAAACCCGTTGTTACATAATTGAACTCCACGAACACATGATACAGTTCCTTTTCTTATATTTAGATTTAATGTCTTCCGATCTTCGAATATATTTTTTTAAATTTATAAGAATTTGGACGACAACGACGTGGCCGTGTGTTACAGTGTGTATTTTTAAAAAATGTTAGATTTAAATTTCAATCCATATAAAAAAAATACGTAAAGTTTAAATATCAAACTATTTTTTTGTTTTAAACACACAAATTCTCTGTCTTAAAACATAAATTTTCTGCTTTACAAATTTTCTGCTTTAAAACACAAATTCCCTGCTTTAAAATACAAATTTCCTATTTTATATAAGAAAA